ATATATATCCACTCACTCTCACACACATACACACATATTATATATATATCTATATATCTATATATAGTGGCGTTTTCCATCGTGGTATAGTTTGTTGATTGTGTGAATTGTCTGGCATTAGTGCAAAAATTTCTATACTATAATCTGAGAATTCAACGGATGTTGTTCTGTTCTGTATGAATAGCTCCATCTATTAGATATAAACAAGTACATCAGTGATACTGTCGATCTCATGAAGGGCGAGAGTTCCAGGTACAGTGACTTGCAAGCCAGGGGGTGATATTTCCTTGTTGACATTTATATGGTATTCAATGACTGGTCGGGCTTTGATACAAATGGATTCTGTCAAGGTTTTCATACTTCATTTCATAGTATGGCACCTTATGATTTTGCTTTGTGACTTTGGTGCACACGTCATTTTTGCACCAGCGACTATCATTATATACTTGTGCTCAACATAAGTGCCTACCAATGGTCAATATTTCGTGCGTGGCAGTATATTTATAAAAATTACTAGAATGATGAGCATCTTCCTATCATATCCTGTAGACTCGGTCTACCAATTGTATTCAGTGTTTAAGTGACGATGCTGGGCGACCTTCACTTTAGTGCTGTATTTGTCTTTGATTATCCGCTGGAAATATTGCAAGATTCAATACTTGACATTATTGACTAACATTGTGGTTAATCTATCAAGTGCTTCTCACTAGAAAACTACGTTTACATTGGGGAACTCAGATTATCGAAGCCATCCGGGAACTGGCACAGCGCAATACTATGACCGAACAGACAGTAAAAACAACCGTAGACGAACTAGCTGAGCATAAAGAACTCGTGCAGCAGTTGACTGAGAGAGTTTCTGAATTGGAAAGGTCACAACACACAACAACGCAAACAGCACCACCCAGAGACAAGAGGCAACGGGAGCCAGTACTAAACGACGATCAAGGATCTTCGGTGCGTTTCATTCGAATGTCATCGTTATTGGGTGTGGGCTTGCTAGTCATGATTGTGAATCAGATTACCCCAGGATCGATATTGCTACAGCCCCAATTTCGTCGCCATACCATTTTTTTCGCCACTCCCTAGTTTGTACAAGCTGCGACTAACACTATTGCTTCGATGCTTTATCGGGATTTTTTGACACGGCCGGGTCGGTTGTCCAACATGTGTCACTTAAACTTGTTGGTTTTTGGTACAATCTTGGTTCTGACAATTTTAGCTTCAAAAGGAATTTTGTTTTTGGGTATAGCTTGCATGATTTCAGTTCATTTTAAGAGCTGCCTGCATGTAGATATATCGTGAAACAGCTTGGGCTAGTTTAATGAACTATCCACTGGAGCTCTAGATTTCCATCTATTGGTCATCTTATACTTGTAAATCAAACTCTTAGGGTCGTTTGTGTTGTTTAGTTTGCGATGAAGGCAAGGCAATGATGTGCGTAGTTTACAGGGCGACGCAGATTGTTCGACATTCCCTATAGAACCAGTGCAAAATGCATTTGGTGTAAAAAAATCTAGTCGCTTAGAAAATGAACTAATTAGTGAGCTAATTATGGTGTATGTATACTGTAGACCATAGTCGTGGTTTCCTTTGCTTCGTATGTGATTTAAACAAATTTTGTACCATTGTCATTGTAATACCACACTTTCCAACCAACGCATATGTCCGCTACATTGTCTTACTAAATCACCAGGCGACTGGCTCGCTTCTCAAGTCCGAGCCAACGAGGAAAAAGCAAAAGACGAGCACACCCAGGGGGGAGAAAGACAATGACGGCCAGACATACTTCTCGGTGAGCAATGCTTTGTGGGTGCAATGTATGCCTATGCAGCTATATTAAGTGAAAAATTTCAGTATACGCTCATTTGGTTGTGCATTGTGGGAAAAGCTTTGTATCTATGTATAAAATAGGTGTTTTCCGATTTTGTTTGATTTTATAGCTCAAGCTGGACTTGTATTTCGCTGCTCAATAGGCCGAGCCAGTTGGTTCAATGTATTAGTATATCCTGATTTATTTTTATGGCCTGGTCGATAGTGATTATGAGAGAGATGTAATGTACAATCCTTGTGTACATGTGCGCAAAGCATTTGTCAAAATCGTCAGCAGTGTACAAACTGATCACCGGTAGTGCAGCATGTATTAGTCCATCGCAACGGCCATTGTTCGTGCGATATTACATCATTCATGCAGTTTTCGAAAATATTATATTTAAGTATATCGTGTGAATCTGAGTACATGTCCAGGTGTCCGTTTGCTATTTTGTCAACTAATCCAGCCTTCTACCCCACTTTCGATATTAAATTAACCTATCCTAGCTTGGCGGAGAACGTCGGTGCACACTCAAACAATTCAGGGGGGTCAAGTATGTAGATATTCGCGAGTACTATATTGCCGGCGGGGAGGCGAAGCCTGGTAAAAAGGGGTACGTGAATTATGCATAAGTGCGCTCCGTTGAATATGCATGATTCGCTTTCATGAATTGTGCACACACATTACCGACTTGACAGTCATACACTTTATAATGGGAACAAAGTCAGTATATTTCCGACCGTGGTGCTCAGAATAGGCTCTGTGTTCATATCACTATATCTGCTTTTATACCATGCAATACCCTCAGGTGTATTTGTATATATATACAGACAGCTAGACTTACATACTTCTTATCTCTCTGCACTATTTCAGCTAATATGCAAAGTGTACACATTGTGCTAGGGGCATCGAGAACAACACATTTACTGTAACAAGTGCGCATATTGCAGCTGTACGCCCTGCGAGATGTACGAAACCATAAGTTTCTGCATCAATTGCCTCGTTTATTTTTAGAAATCTTGCCGGATATTGATATTATTACTAAAGGAATATTATTTACGTACATATCCTTCCCCACCAGGATTTCATTGAACGCCGACACATTCCAAAGATTGCTGCCTTGTATTGACGCAGCCGCAGAATTCTTAGGGGTTGCCAATAGTGATTAGATCATATGTGGCGATATATCATTGCAGAAATCCTACCGAATAAATGAATATTATAATTCCGTCTAAGTCAAAGCTATGGTCCATGTGAACGGTTTTCGACATGATACTCAGATCAGCTGACTATAAACTCGCCACATCTAATTGAAGAGAGTGCTTAATGTCCGGCTGAATGTTTGTCTGGTTCTTTTATGAGGTCCAAAGTGTGTACAGTTGAATAAGTCCAAAATTCGTTGACTTGGCTTATGACTATTTTAAATACGTTTGCTTTATCGGTGAAATCAAATTCTATATTCTCGGGCAATGGAAACTGTATGGAAGAAGTGACGATAACTTGGTTCGGGAGCCTGCAACTAGTTGAGAAAATTGCACCCAAAACATGCATACACAGACACACATAAAGCATACATGCATACATACATGCATACATGTATGCGTACATACATACACACACATAAAGCATACATACTTACATACATGCAGACATGTATGCGTACATACATACACAGACACACTTAAAGCATCCATACATACATACATACATACACAGACATACATAAAGCTTACATATATACATGCATACATGTATGCGTACATACATATAGGCACAGATAACGACACACATAACAACACACACACACAACAACACACACACACATTTATATATAGAGATATGGATATAGATAAATACATGCATACATATACACATACTCACGCATACACATACACGTACACGTACACAGACATATATATATATATATAAATATACATACACATATACATATACAACACACACACACACATGTATATATATACATATACACATACATACATACG